TCACAATGAGCATGCGAATAGCAAGGAAGAACTAATTTGAGTAGAAACAATCCTAGAGGATAAATAGGAGCATTATTTGGTATTGTTTTTAATGCTTGGTTGTACTTATGTAATGATACATAATGTTCTGATGCTTTGCGTTCTTGCTTTATTATGATGTTTTATGTGGTACCATTTCTCAGATAAAAAATTAATTTTGTCATTGATATGGAGCAGTTAACCATATGGCAGAGCCAATGGAAGTGTGTTTATTTCACTAGTCTCATACTTGTACATGCATATACCTACTTTTATGATCAATGCTTTCCCAGTGCTTCTTTTCTAGCAAGCCTATAGTACCCTATAGCTAGTATACATTTATTCTGAGTGTAATTTATTTCTTTTGGTGAGAGTATTAGGTAATTCTTGGACTCATTTGTCATTGTTGTATTTCAATTCATTGGTGTTACTTACTACAATCATTTCAAATGTTGTCATGCATGTATATGCCTGCTTTATAATGTATCCTTTCTCACAAAATCTATAATGTAAAAATAAATTATAAGGTGCCATAGCAACTTTTCTATTGGTAATGGGGCAGGCTATTGTAAGTTGTGGGGATATGTTTATGAGTAGGGTTAATGCAGTTTACACACATGTATATAAATCAATATATTGATGTTAACTATGTTTTAAATTAGGTGGTTAGAAGCTATAATGTGACTCCTTCCTACTCATAACACATCACATACATCAATGAAATACATTATGTGCACTATACATGTACATGTATGTCAATAATGTAAACCAAGTTGGATATCCTATGTTTACATGTACATTGTGTTTGCTTTTCATTACCAATATTATTAAATGATGAATGTGCATTATATACAGCTTTGATACATGTGCAAATGTACATGTAGAAGAATGCTATCCTTCTCATCTCTCTTCTCTTCCTCCCTCCCCTTTATCTCTTCCTCTCTCACTCCTTTTCTTAAAATCTAAATGGAAGCATGTTATACTAAGCTTTTGTGTATTGGATGGTAAAGTGTAGTTGTCTTTATAATATTCATATTGATATACAAATACAAGTAAATTATCCATTCATAATTTAATTTGAACATCATATAATGCTTGATTGTACAATTTTACAAAGAACATGCAAGTGCACAACCCCATTATGCATTGCCTGCAACTCCTGCCTTATGGTTAGCTGTTCCTTATAAAATGAATGTGCACTTAATTCATTCTTTAGTTGATTTTTGGCATTACCGGCATATTCAATTCTAAATAATTGTACATTTACTTAAAATTAAATACACATATTTAATGTAAACCCAAATAATTTACCAACCTTAATGTTTACCATTTTTGCAGTGGACAATATATTTAATGCACTTTATTTTCATAGTTACAACTGAGTTAACCAAATGGGGCTTGAAAGAATTTTATAATTTACTGGTACCAATTATAAATACAATGTCGTTCTTATGATTGAGCATTGGATGTACATG